ATTGGCTCCTTCATTCCCGACTACATCACATCCAACTCCTTCATGTCAGACAACATCACTATCATCTCCTTCATTTCAAGCCACAAGACAGCAAACCGCTTCATTTTAGGCTACCACACAACTAACTCCTTCATGTCAGGCAACATCACTACCAGCTCCTTGTATTCAGCCGACTCCTTCATTTCAGGGGATATCACTACCAACTCCTTCATTTCAAGCCACAAGACATAAAACCGCTTCATTTCAGGCCACAACACTACCAACTCTTTTATCTCAGGCTACGGGATAGACAACTCCTTCATTTCAACCTCCAACTAATCCAACACCAGCACAAGCAACATCCAATAAGCATGCTAAACGTGAGTCTTCACATCATTCGACTGTCGATGGAATAGGTAATCATTTCCTAATTCCTTTTTCTTAATCTGCTGCGTCTTTTGTTTCTTTTTATGTGACATCGGCTTATAAATTATTCAAACTAATTCCCTAATTTTGTTAAGAGTTCTTGAAATAAATAGTTAAGCTGCATAATGTAAATTTATATAATTAACAGAGTTTGTACCAGGTCCATCTATTTGTTAGTGAAAAAGGGTAAATTTGGTTATCAATTCATGACATGCTATTCTAATTTCCTTAGCTTCTCAAGCATTATAATGACTCAAAATTTGTACTACCTTATCAGAGGTTACTGTTTGCACAGAAAAATTATAATTTTTGGAAGCTGGTTTTATTCCTTTTATTACTTCAAGAATGTCAGTTAGGAGAAAGAGTTTCAGCTCTAGAGTATAAAGAATGTCAATTTTAGTATTTTTCATTTCTTTCTCCATTGTCTAGCAGTGAAAGAACAGAAATAAACTAAACTGGACTATGATCTGATTTATACTGCAAGTGGAAGTGCTGGCCATCTACTTATTGAGTTGAGAAAGAGATCACAAATGCAGTTTGGCTTAGACACAACATATGCTACAAACAACCAACAAATGAATGTGTTAAACTCCCACACTCTATCTTTCCATCTTGTTTCTCCCTGAAAGAAAGCAAATATGAAAAAGAGACTAGCCCTTTGGTTAACTGTCAAGCATGTAAAACATGATGGATAACTTATTCATCTATTCGTTGTCTCAACATATGATGAGAAAGAATGTTACTTTACTGAAGTAAAGACCTTATTAATATGAATCGTTTTTATTTTTATTTATTAAAGATTCACATGGAGATACCAAAAGGCTCAAATTGAAGACTAGAGAAACATTAAGTTTACCTTGGGGAGAACGTGTTGTGGTGGAGTTTGATTGCTTGGATCCGATTGGCAAAGCACAAGGCCTTCTTGCAGGCGTATGTGAACTTTTAGCAACTGACTGTACCATATTTCCAATTAGCTTTGATAAATGGCTGGATATGCCTAAGTCATACTTTAACGACTGCTTTGATAACATTATAAAGGTATAAGCTTTACATCTTTATAACTATATCTCTATTGTGTCTTTTGTTTTTATATTTGTTATAAAAGATAAACTAACCAAAATTTATTTTTGAAGGCTCATTTCTATTTTATGACCATTGAGGAAGTTGCACGAGGATATGTTTATCGCTCTATTGCAAAGAAGTGGGCTGTAAGTAGGCAGAAGTTGTGGGATGAGTTTAAAGACCCACTTAAAATCAAAGATGAGATTATGGATAATGTTTTGGTAGGTATTACTCGGGATCAATGGACTTCCTTTGTGAATTACCATTATAAAGAAAAAAACTCGGGTATTTTTCTGAACGTCACATTGAAATGCATAAAAATATGATTATTCATTTATACAGTTGACTGAAATGTATCTTATTATTAGAACATGTGTAAAAGAAATGCTGAAAATCAGAAGAAACAAACAGTTCCACACACTGGTGGCTCCAAACCTAATTCTAGAAGAAAGGCTGAAATGGTGAAAGATGTCACATTATTTACCTTACTTTACTATTTAAATTTTAGATATTGTATCTATTTCTTTTATTTTAATTAATCTATTCTGACCTTTTTTTATTTTCATACATAGATGGCTGAGACAAGGAGAAAGTCTGGACAAGCACAACTTTATCTTGCTACACATACGAAACGAGATGGATCATATGTAAATGAGAAGACAAAAGAAATATGTGTAAGTTAAAATATAAGACCATTACACCTACATCATTATGTTTGTTTCAACCTTTTATGTTATGATGTTTTGGTCTAGTCTATTGACCGACTCTCAGTGATGATTCTGTTCATGTTCTCATGTTGACTTGTTTGCCTAAATGACTCTAGTCGGTAGTCTTGTTCATGATACTATATTGCTCTTAACAGCTAAGATAGAATGATCTATGTGTGACTATCATGAAAACTAGAATAAAAGGAATCATATGGTGAACTTTGTTGGCAAAACCTATTCTTGACAACTACAATTCTCAAGCAGATAAGCCGATCATATGACAGTTTTCATATGACTATCATGAAAACTAGAATAAAAGGAATCATATGGTGAACTTTGTTGGCAAAACCTATTCTTGACAACTACAATTCTCAAGCAGATAAGCCGATCATATGACAGTTTTCATATGACTATCATGAAAACTACAATTCTCAAGTGGATAAGCCTTTCAATATCCAGGTACAAGGACTTATAAAGAATCTTTAAGACTTTTTTTTTCTTTGGAGTAATATTTTCAGAATATTGATATGGCAAATGACGATATAATTTTATCGTTCACACGCTGCTGACTCTTTAAGACTAACAATTCATACTTGTCTCTGCATATATAAACTTCAATGATATATTGCTTCTAATACATGAGTGTATATCAAAATGACAACGAAAGAGAGAAGTTTTCCATATCATATATGTTTTACACTTATCTACTGGAACTTACTCCTTATTTTTAAGAAGTTGTCATGTGCCTAAGTCAATAATGAACTTCTACAATTGGTTTGTTTGATCTGAAGCTAGATTTTCAAGGAAGGGGGCATATATAAGTATATCATATATACAATAGTTTAATGGACATTTATTAACATTCATATGTTGAAGTATGACTTTTCATCTTATTCATAATTTGTAAAGATCAAACTTGCAAATGGTGACATGTTGTGTTATAGTCTGCAGACTACTGTAATTACAGCTAACTGCTTGAACAAAATATCCTACATATGAACAGCTAGTTGTGGATTATAGAATATAGCTGAGGCAAAGTGCAAGAATAAGTATATTCTGAAAATACTTAGGTCATGATTTGTTCTAATGATTAACCTACTTAGAGAAGGTTATGAACTGTTGGACCTTTAGGGAGGATGATAAAATAAGTGCATATGCCCAATTTTGTCAACTACTGATGCTCTAGGCTACTGATTGCACCTTATGGCAGGAAATAGATAATTATTGTGAAGCATAGTAATAACCAATTTATAATGTTGGCTCAGATTTTTTTAATGTGTATTGTGTTTAGGAAAATATTGAGCTAGCAGTGAGTGAAAGTACATTTGATGAGTCGGAAATTTCTCCAAATGATGTTGTTGGTGCTAGGCAAAGAGCATTCTCGAAGGGTGAGATGTTTGGGATTAGCAGCTACTCCAAGCAATACTTTCAGAGAGACAAATCTTCGTCTTGGTAATATTAGAATTGTGAGTAATAATGTTGGTTGTTCTTCTTCTGGATGCCAAGAGAAGTACAATCAATTGATGAGTACTCTCAAAGAATATATGATAATGAAGGAAAGGTCAATACCAGAATAATTTGTTGGGATCTTTGCTTCTCCTCCTACAATGGTAAATGCTAAGTTCTTTTATTTTTGGTATATTGTGCAATTTTATTTTTCATTTGTGAAGGGCTGAGAGTCACTATGATAACTGGTGCGACTTTGGAGTTTTGGGACTCTACAGTTACTATGAAAAATCAACAATTTGTCTATCCTTTTCCACCTAACAAGCTGGAGAACCACAATGAATATGTAAGCAGATTGCTGCATAGAATCCTTTCCAATTTAATCTTGTACTCATTCCTTCACGTTTTAAATTTGACATATAGAAATGGCAAGAATATTAAAATGTAGAAATGTAAATGTAACTTGAATTTTCCTTTAAGGGACCAAATCTGACTTGTGTTTCTAGGATTTCAAGCAAGAAGGCGATTACTACAATGAATACTACTATAAACATGTCATACACTAGTAGAAAGAACTTACATAAAATCTTAATGTAGAGTAGTTACATGACAGAATCCTAAAATAGAATTCCACAGTATGATCATGACAAAATTCTCATAAGTAATGTCTTTGGCACAAGAAGACTCAATGAAACTTCAAATAATATCTCCAAGTGGCAAAGTGTATTTTATTTCTCATTGAGATAATTTTATTTTATCCGAATGACTTGTTTCCTGATACTCCTCTTAATAGTTGTATTTTTTTTTTACTTTTTGCTGCAGCCAAGTGATGCAGCTAGTGGACCCGTTTCACCGACGGATGCAAGAAGATTTTCTGGCGCAAGCAATCCCAGTGACAACCATTGAGATTCATTTTAATTGAAGTGGATGTATTAGGACAATATAATAGCTGATCACTAATATAGATGTTTAACTATGTTCTAACTTAGTTTGAAGACATATGATACTACTGCGTAATAGTATTTTTTCACGGTCAATGAAATGTTGATATTTCTTAATTTTAATATTTTGGTTTAAGTATAAATATTTTAATTGATATTAGGGGAAAAGTATGGCAAATTAATGATAAAAAATTAATTCTATAATATATTTAAAAATAGATGGGGATAAAATCCCCCAAAAAGAAATTACTGATTGCGGGGGTTTACAACCCCTACACTCAAAAAAAAAAAATTAAATTTTAAAAATAAAAATCTATTTTCGCGCATGAAATTGCGGATGTTAAAATTGAAATTTGCGGAGGTTAAAAACCCCCGCATTTGTCTGCCGCAAATTAATAGTGGCGATGCATACTGCGGGGGCTTGCTCAACCGTCGTGACAGCAAATAGCGGAGGTTCCTAACCTCCGCAAACTGCAATTTTAACCTTCACAATTTACCCGTCTTTTTGTAATGTATTTTTTATGATGCATTTATGGTGATCAACAGCTACTATTTTTCCATTTTTCATACAGGTGGCTGTCAGTAATAGTTGAATAGTTAGTGCTATGAATCAACTGAATCTGATAGCCCGATTCTTGCTTAGCTTATAATTTGGCATTTCTCATCAGTAGCTATTCTAATTTAATCTTATTTTGGGCTATTCTAATACTGTGTATTTTGATCAGATGGCAATGATGATTTATCATGTCGGAAGGTTCAACCCAAGAATTGTCCATGGAGGCTAACAGAATGTCTGAAAAGCAGAAAAATGTATGAACTCCTAAGAGCAAATATCTATTTTCTTTTGCAACTTTACTCTAATCTCTCAATTTGTTAGACTGGGTCGTTTCTACTTTCACTGAATTCTAGCTCCCATTTGAAGTATTTATTCAGCGGTAATTACTTGTTGAATGCCTCTGTAACTCATTTTGCTCGTTATATATGTGACAGAATGTCACACTTCCTTTCTTGGAAGAATATGAAATTTTTCCAATTAAAATGACATTATTCGAAATGAGATTTTATTTAATTAGAGTCGTCACTTGGGATAATTATTGTGGTGTCCCAAGTCACAGGTTTACTTTAAAATTCCAAATAAAGGAATTTACTCTATTTTTATGGTCCGCGAACACAGAAGACCGGGTAAGGAATTCTGTTAACTCAGGAGAAGGTGTGAGGCGCTCTCGAGTTCCGTAGTTTTAACACGGTCGTTTTAATCATACCTGGCTTAATTAATTGTTTAATTACGTATTTTTAGAATATATGTGTGTTTTACCTTTTACTACTTTTAATTATGGCGTTATGGATTTATCTTTGAAACGGATCACATATGTGTAAATTCGTTTTGTTTAGTGTGCTAAAAATCATGTCATGTCTACGTGTACACAATTAATAACACTTTATTAATTATCGAGATTGTTTTGGCCAAAGTTGCGCGAACATATACTTTGATTTAGTTTTTGGAAATTATGATTATGTCACGCGAGCGTATACACTGTCACAATAGTAAAATAAGTGCGCGCCTAAAACATCTCTACGATATGAGTGTGTTTGCTATGTTTCTGATTGTTATGGGAATCGAATTTGAGGAAGTGAGTTGAATCCTTACCAAAAATGGAGGCATGTTTCAATTTACAGTATTTTACAGAAGTGGGGAAGAACAAAACCTCCGTTAATTTAAGACATGTGAGACTAAATGATTTAAGGCTTAACAAGGGCAGGTGAAATTCGACTCCAACAACCTCTTATGATCTTAAATTGAGCAAATGTAATGGGCTAAAGAATTTAGAGGCCCATAATTGTTGAGCACGGCATTAGGCTTAATGAGTTGGGCTCCGTGTCAGATGAATCTAATCTAAACTGAATTGAAGGCCCTGACTTACTTTTGAAGTTTGGTCCAATTGCTTAACCTACACATTCTCCTTCAGCTGAAATTATCTACTGAAATTATACATATTATGGACCCTCGGATGCCTGCGTAGCTACGTACGCAAAAAGTAGTGCATAGCTACGCATAACAGCTTTCTCTAGCATGGCTTCAGGTGTTCAGTTGGCGTAGGTAGTGAGCGTAGCTACGCAAAGCAGCGTAGCTAATTTCATAAGCTCTCCAAAATTTCATCTTCCAAGTCATTAGCAGTGTAGCTACGCAAGAAGGGAGCGTATACGCACATCTTCACCTTTTCTTCCTTCATTCTTTTAACACTTTTAAGCTTCAATTCACAATTCTCGTGCATGTTTTTGATGCTTTTATTTCCTCTAGGCTCTTCCATTACTTCATATCCCGAAACTGATCATTCAAAGCATAATTAATCAATTAATCCCGACAAATGGGGCATAAAGCTGTATTCAAACACTAGAAAAATTAGCTAAAAGCTAACTTATCAAGGGTCTTTTCCACTTTCAAGTTGAGAATAATTTTGGCAAAGTTCCTTACAATGATTAACACTAATACTACTTAGCTGTTACATTGAACAATAAGCAACTTAAATTTTCAAAATTTCTTCATATACATTTGATGAGCTTAATGCAATGACTCCAAACCACAGTTCATTTCTCTGCATCATCGGCTTTTCCATTTGATTCCCCTCCCCACATTTTTATCCTCTTTGCTGCAATAGAAGCCTGCAATTTACAAAAAGGAAATCCAAAACAAACTGTGTTACAAAACTTGGATAGACATTGAAGCCCAAATATGTACTTGGGAATTAGGCCCAAGTAGTTGATAGAAATGGGGATAAATTCAGAAATAGTCAGATTTACAAGTGGTCATTCAAAAATAGCGACAGTTTCAAAAGTAATCGAAATTTAGTCACTTTTCATGTAAAGATAAATCTGAACAAAAACACTGTTCAAAATCAGGAAAATACTCCAGCATAAGTATACTGGCTGGAACTCCAGCATATTATAATAGAGTTCCAGCATAAGTATATTAAACTCCAGCATAATATACTGGAATTCCAGTATAATATACCGGTCAGCATATCATACACAGGTGCTCCAATCTCCAGTATATTATGCTGAAACTTTCCACGTGTTGGAGTTCTAGCGTAATATGCTGGAAGTTCATACACAGGTGTACCGATCTCTAGTATATTATGCTGATCCGGTCTCTGTTGCAGCAAAATAGTGGCTATTTTTCAATGACTTTGCAAACGCTGGCTATTTTTGAATGATCAGTCCGAAAACTGGCTAGCCCGTGCTATTTTTACATGGAAATGTGATGGTAATGAGCCCAGTAAATATGACCATTTTGTATATGGCGCCTAAATGTTATTTTATAAAGGAATTTTTACCTCTTATAGCAAAAGTTAACACCTTATTTATTTTAAATAAATACCATTTAAGAAAATTATATTCTATAGATACCTTTTAATGTTTATAGCAAGATATCTTATTTTGGTTATACTCCTAAGCCACTAAATACGCTATTCAGTTACACTATTTCTTTCTCTCTCTTTTTGATACATGCAATTCTCTTCCCACATTCTCTGAAAACACACCCGAGGGCTCCGTCAGAAGCAACTTGAATTTCAATAACTTGATTTTCTGTTACGAAGGGCTCCCTTATTGGGTTTTGTGAAAATTTCTCCTGCGAAAGGCACAGATGGAGGGCACTTCATTCAAGAAAATTTTTGGTGGGGTTGTTACGAAGGGCTTTTTCTTATTGATTTTCTGTTACGAAGGGCTCACAATTGGGTTTCGTAAAATACGAAGGCACTTGATTGAATACGAAGGGACTTTTTGGTGAGTTTCGGGGTTTTGCTCGACGGCGGATTCGCCGGAAATTAGGATTTGTTCTTGAATAAAGACGGCGGAGTTTGGGGTTGAGCAACTTGATTTTCTGTTAATATATTTCAATGTATTTTCAACGTATCATGCTGTATTTTCATGTATTTCACTGTATTCATTGTCTTTTTTTCCATTGTAATTCAGTTTATATCGTTGTACTCCATGTATTTCATTGTATTCACTGTATTTTTTTATTGTATTTCAATGTATCCCGCTGTATTCTATGTATTTCATTGTATTCACTGTCTCGCTATATGCCATGAATGTATTCATATATTTTTTTTAATTAATATAATTTATGTATTCAGATGTATTATATAATTTCTCTGAAGATTGCTATGTTTTTGGGGTATCTTTTGGTTGAGAATCTTTTTTATACAAGAAAATACAAAATTTGTGTGTTATAATTGAGTTTGTTGAGTTATATTAGGATTCTATTATGTTAATTGATTCACTTTCCATTTAAAAACAGTGTAATCCCCTGTTTCACGCCGTGAATATAGTTGAATACAATAATTTGTCCAGCAGTAATCCCATGTTTCACGCCATGAATACATACGAATACAAATGTAGACAATAAATTTGGTTCGAGAAAATAAAATCAAGCCTGAAAAATATCGCAACAATCGTAGTATTTTATTTCGAATATTTGAGTGTTACAATCTCTACGAATCCACTGATTCCACTTTTCAATAGTAAATAAATTCAAGGGCCTTTGAGTTTGATCTAGAATATGTATTTGTTGCCTCGAACGATGATCTTGTTCTTGAGCTTGAGCTTGATTGCTTGAACTTGACCTTGATTTGTTCTTCCAATCTCTTTTCATCAAGAGCTTCCAACTCTGCTAATCGAAGTCGAGCATTTTCTTCATCAGTGATCCCTTCTTGAATAGCCAGTCGTAACGAAGGTATTTGACGCTCAAGTGGCAAGACGGCTTTGACTCCATAAACGAGTGAATAAGGAGTCTCATGTGTTGGCGTGCGATGAGTCGTTTTATATGCCCATAGAGCTTCTTCCATACGGTCATTCCAATCTCATTTGGATTTGGAGACAACTTTCTTTAACAAGTTGCATAGAGTCTTGTTGAATGCCTCAGCTAGACCATTGGCGGCAGCATTGTACATCGAAGAGTTACGTTGCTTGAAGCCAAAGAGATCACAAATCTTGTTCATCAACCTATTATCGAATGGCTTTCCATTATCCGTTATTATGTAACGAGGAATGCCAAAGCGATAAATAATGTTTACTAGGATGAAACTTGCAACATTTTTCTTTTTTACTTCCTTAAGAGCAATAGCTTCAGCCCATTTTGAGAAGTAGTCAGTTGCAGCCAAGATGTATAGGTGCCCACCAGAGGACTTTGGTAGTGGTCCAACAACATCCAATCCCCAAGCGTCAAATGGCCAGGATGCAATAGTCGGGTGCAACACTTCAGGAGGTTGATGAATAAAATTCGCATGGAATTGACAAGCCTTGCATCTTCGAGCTTAGTCCAAGCAATCTTTTACCATCGTTGGCCAATAATATCCCATCCTTTTTATATGGAAGTGGAGCTTTGGTCCGGACTGGTGTGACCCACATACCCCAGAATGTGCCTCTTGCAAAGCTTGGAGAGCTTCTTCTTCTTCTAGGCATCGCAAGAGTACTCCCTCAAACGACCTTCTGTATAGAGTATACTTATAGTAAAGGAAGCGAGGTGCACGACGACGGATTTCAGTCCTTCTCCTCGGATTTTCTGGAAGTATCCCACAGCATAAGTAGTCGATAATGGGTTGTCGCCATTCTTCTTTCTCAACTTCAGAAACCGCAACAAGATGCTTGAGTTCGTTATCTTCACCTTCGACCTCATTTGGCGGCGGTACTACCCATCTTTGGCAGACGGTAACTTGCGCTTGGTCAGGCAGGGCTAATGATGAAGCTAGAGCAGCTAAAGCACCAGCCTTCTTATTTTCTTTCCTATGGTATATACTGAATAGTCACATCGCTGAGCCACCCCATCAATTTTTTTGCGTAATCATAATGTGGGCGTAGTTCAGGCTTCTTGACCTCGTAACTACCCAAAAGCTTATTGATCACTAACTGGGAGTCACCAAAGACTTGAAATTGCAATTGTTTCATATCAACGACCATTTCAAGCCCAAGTATTAATGCTTGATATTCAGCAGCATTGTTGGAATAGAGTTGTGTCAAGGTGAAGGAGTAGGGTAAGACTTCACCTTGAGGAGTGACAAATACTATGCCAGCCCCGGCTCCCCCACGATGCGCAGCACCATCAAAGTACATCTTCCATGGAGGTTGAACTTCAATGACAATTGCGTCCTCATCAGGTAATTTATCAGTTAGCTCCCAGTCATCAGGTATCAGATGATCTGCCAAGAAGTCTGCCAATGCTTGTCCTTTTATAGCCTTTTGAGGGATGTACAAAATCTCGAATTGTTGAAATTGGAGGTACAATCTCGCTAGTAGATCACTAAGAATAGGTTTTGACATCACGAACTTGATGGGATTTGCTTTAGAAACAAGACGGAAAACATGAGCTTGAAAGTAGTGCTTCAACTTTTGAATTGAGAAACTAGCTCCAAACATAACTTTTCAATTGGCGAATAGTTCAACTCGTTAGGTGTCATCATCCTGCTCAAGTAGTAAAGAGAGTTTTCTTTCCCCTCACTATTTTCTTGGGCCAACAGTGCTCCAATAGACCTTTCCTGCGCTGCAATATATAGTATCAATGGCTTTCCTGGTATAAGAGCTGCTACAACTGGAGGCTTCATCAAGTAGGTTTTGATGCTTTCGAAGGCATTGCTACAAGCTTGATCCCACTTGAAAGGAACACCTTTCTTCATGAGGTGACTAAATGGTTGGCACCTCCCAGCCAGGTTTGATATGAATCTTCTAAGGTATGCTAGCTTTCCTTGCAGACTTTTCAATTCATGGATATCTCGAGGCTCAGGCATTTTCAAAATGGCATCCACTTTGGCTTGATCAATTTCGATCCCTCGATGTCGGACAATGAAACCAAGGAACTTTCCAGAAGTAACTCCAAAGGCACATTTCAACGGATTCATCCTAAGTTGGTACCTCCGGAGCAATTCAAATACCATCCTCAAGTCTTTCATGTGGTCGCCCTTCTCTCTTGATTTCACCACCAAGTCGTCAACATAGCATTCGACATTCTTGTGGAGAAGATCGTCGAAAATATTCTACATAGCCCTTTGGTAAGTAGCACCAACATTCTTCAAGCTAAAAGGCATTATCTTGTAGCAATAAATACCCTTGGGGGTGCAAAACGCAGTAAGCTCTTCATCTTTTGGTGCCATGCGAATTTGGTTATAGCCCGACGAACCGTCAATGAAAGACATTGCCTCGTAACCAGTAGTAGCATCGATCATCAGCTCTGGAATAGGAAGCGGGAATTCATCTTTGGGACATGCATTATTAAGGTCCCTGAAGTCAACGCATACTCAAATCTGGCCATTCTTCTTCCTTGCAGGGACAATACTTGAAACCCATGTTGGGTATTTAACTTCCCGAATAAATCCAGCTTCAATGAGTTTGTTAACTTCAGTTTCAATTAGGGGAACCAAGTCCGGCCTAAAACGCCTTTGAGCTTATTTAACAGGGCGAGCACCATTTTTGACTGCAAGGTGATAGACTGCTACTTTCGGGTCCAAGCCAGACATCTCTTTGTAACTCCAAGCAAAGACATCCCTGAATTCTTTGAGTAACTCAATATAAGTGCTCTCTTCATTAGCTTCTAGTAAAACACTTAGGTAGGTGGGTCTTGGTTCCTCATCGGTGCCAAGGTTAACTTCTTTTAAGGCATCAACTGTCGC